TTTAAGATACGCCACTACTTTCTTATTTAAATACAAGAATTAAAAGGATTTACTTTCAAAGTAGATGTTACAAACAAACCTCTGAACAACGACCACTGAAGGAAGCGTACAGTAAGAACGGCCACTGCTCGCAGGTTTTTTATGTATGTATTTTTAGAAGAAACGTACTGTCTCCTGGGAGGACTTTCTATAGGAAACTTGACCCTATTTAGTTGTTAGACACGTGAAAAAACCCTGATCACCCTAGTGACTACGTTTTTTAGTTAGATTTTTTTTACGAAAATAGAAAACGCATACTCAAGACAGTACGTGAACCAAATTTGGTTGACATATGTCCAATTGTTTTTACTACAGAGAGCTCTAAACACCTACTCTCTACTGTATAATAAATGAATAGAACAATTGTAGATAATATGAAATATCAACAGGCACAGTTTATAATGCACGAAAAGCATTTATTCGTAATAATAGAAACTTTGTTACTGTACAAGAATGAAAATTTTAAGCTCACCAGTGCCCGAATGGATAACACCACTCAACACTAGTAGTTGGTTAGGGTTTGCACTTCTCCAACAGGCTGGCCACGTAGAGATTTCTGGGATTCCTTCACGTTAATAACATCTAAATAGGAGCCATTTTCCCTCCGGAAAAATTGTATTAAAACTCTTGAGAATATTGCAAGAACTTTTTTAAGTTTGGCTGAACTCACCACCCTAAAATCTACGATTTTTCGACCCGACCGAATTTGATCCTGGGTCTTCCAGAGTAGTAAACTGCCGTCTTATCTGATTGGTCATCCGGTCACCGGTAACACATACCGAAATCGAATATTTAATTAAATAAACTTTTAATACATAAAGAATTCGAATGTGACTTCAAAGCTAACTCTTCACTGACTCTACAGTAGCTATTATGATATCGCTTTGATGTTTATGCCATTGAATATATCGCTTCTACACATTTTGAAAGGTTCTTAGAAAACCATACAAATAGTTAATTAAAATATCTGTAACTTTGCTATTAGAAAAGAGTATTTTATAAATACACACATTAAAGAACGTTACGAAGCGGAAACTTAAGGTGCGGATGTCGGAACACTTGGCTGCAATACGAAATAAAATTAATACATCCCCGATTTTTTTGCAATGTCACATAAATAATTGTCAATTGGATATTAATAATGTAAAAATAATGCATAAAGAAAAAAATATAATTAAGAGAAAATTTAAAGAACATTTTGCGATAATTATGCAAAGTAATGTTTTGAATTTGAATAATGGAGTGATGCCAGCGGAATGCTGAGAAGAGTTAGTGTTATTTAAGAATTGTAAACGCGATGGTACTAGTGAGAAAGATGTGTCTTTCGTGGATGTTGGACCGTCTTCTGTTGTATCATCTACTGAGAAAGATGTGTCGTTTGCGGATTTCGTTCCTGTTGTGCATTCTGGTTATAAGAAACCCTACTGAAGAGGTCTTAGCAAGCGAAATGCATTTGGGGTGAAGTATGTTTATTAAAATAAAAGTGTTTTTCTTTATGTTAACCTGTTTACCTCTTTCTTAATTTTTATACCAGTGTACATACTCGGGATTTATTAAGCCTCCAAAAGTCAGAAACGAATGGAAAACTAGCAGTTTTTCGTGTACTAGTGAATAGTGCAATACGGTAAAAAATAAATAGTATTAGTAGAAAGATGTCGACCAGATTTAAATAGCGTATTGTAATCCATATCTATAAATGAGAATGTTTGTTTGTTTGTTCGCTATACACTCTTAGGTCGTTCTTTTTTTAAATAAAATATGATATTAATAGAGAATCGGGAGTATTTTCTTAATAAAAATAAGACAACACTTGAAATTTTCCAACTTTTTTTTTAAAGATTCCAATAGAAATCAAAAACATATAAACTTTGAAAAGTGTCATATTTAGAGAAATTTATGAGGTCTCAAAATATAAAAATTTATTGAATTTAAATATTTTTATGTCCAATATGAATAATGTTTTATTATCTTGAAAACTTTACTCTTAAAAAAAATATTCAAGAACCAAATAATATCAAATTGCCGAATTTGCAATGCAATAGTTTTTTTTTTCAATATGTTAATGAAGGAATATTTTATTCAAATATACTTTTTCAAATACTATTTTCCTTTGGATTTCCACACGTAAAAGTATCCCAGTGATCTCTTCTTATATAATAAAAAAAATCGGAATTTTTAAATATAAAACGGTATAAAGTATTCATTAAGACGTACTTTACGTTTTATATTCTTATAATTTCTTTTTAATACTTTTGTTTAATTCTTTTTAAAATTCATTTTAAGTATTTTTGAACTGACAACCGAGTGTGGTTCTATTTAAATATATTTTCAATGTAAAAAAAATATACATCGTCTCGACGAGATTTATATTTTATAAATAGCTAGTTCTTACTTTTTTTAATTCGTAATAAAAATGACAAGGGATAGAACTCTCGGTGTATGTATTATGATACATTTATAAAAACATATACAAAAATATTTTGCCTCCTGTTCGAATTACATAATAAATTCGTATTGTTGTTGTTAAAGTAAGTTTTAAAATAGAATCTCGTCCTAAAAATGAAGTTAAGATACAAAAGAATTCAGATTTTTCGGGTCCATTGAGATTCTTTGACAGCTGTCACTTTATACTTCGTGATCATACGTCACTGAATTGAGTACTGAAACTTTCAAGAAGAAAGTTTGATACAATACATTCAAAATAGTTAAGAAAATGTGATTTTAAAGTAAAAATATTTAATAGTTTACTCTTTTATTTTTATACGTTTCATTCTTATTTATTTAATTTAAAACATATAGACCGGACGTTCGTATGTAATTAATAGGGCCACCTTCCTTATCTAGTCTCGAATTTCGTGATTAAGAAAGGACAGACAAACAGTTAGAATGGAAAATTAGAAGCTGTGTAATTTAAACAGAGTCTGTGAGATTTTTAAGTCTTATAAGATGTGAATGAATCTACTAAAATTCTCTGTGACCAAAAAGAAAGATAAGAAATATATTCACTAAAAGAAGACAGTAGTCTGAAAACACTGTACTATAGTACAGTCCACCCCTCCTATAACACTGTTGATTATTCCGTTTTATATGAATTCCATGTTGTACGAGTCACTTAGAGTTTACAAATATGTGTGCCGGGCTGTAAATGGCTCATGTATTTGTAAAATCTAAGTGACTCGTACAACATGGAATTCATATAAAACGGAATAATCAACAGTGTTATAGGGGGGTGGACTGGTATATACAGTGAACTGTGTAAATTAGAATCGCACGGTACCGAATATTTATTCCTGTTTATCAGGTTACCGCTTTAAAACAGTTTTTTATTTAAGCAAATTTCCATTTTAGACAAGTTTTACTGTAAATATCGATAAAAGCATCGAATTATCTCGAGTTTTTAGAACTTTTATTAATAGAAACGAGAAAAAATGACATTGATTTATGTTCAGAAATCCGTCATTTAATAGAATCAGAAGATTAATCGAAGAAAAAGCTTTTCTATCATTTTGTGATTTTAGCTTTTGTTCTTGCTTAAGTCAACGAACTTTGCTTTCACTTCAATTAACTGATAATCTTTTGTGTCCATTCAACGTAGACTTAATTCATCGAGTATACGCCAATCCAAAATAAATTAAATAAAACGTAAAATAAATCATTATTATAGCTTTAGTTTAGACTTTATTACACTCACAGTTCAGATACATTGTTTATTTTTATTCCTTTATCATTCAAACCTTCTCACAGTATAGATATAAACGTGTAGAAAGTTGAAAGATGAGTGAAAGAATTGTCACAATACGAAGATTATTGACTTGCAAGATGTATTCTAAAGTGAAATAACAGATTTTGATAAGTATTTAAGAGAAAATCGAAGTAGAATGTTGTTTACTCAACCGATAAACTGAAGTAATAGCTTTCATGAAAGACATTGTATTATTAAAATATTTATATATTTTATATATAGAAAAAGCTCTATATTATAATTTATTTAAATTATAAGAATAGTTATATTTCTATACTTCTAAATTTTTAAAAACCTAATTACATTCTCTAAAAGTTTTTCAATTTTATAGGCCTAAATATTTATAAAGTTTTATCGTCATAATATATTTTAAAATGGGTCTATCAATAGAATTGGATTGATGGAAGAAGGCAATGCTTGGGTAGTATTGCCACATGGTTTGATTTTTCAGGATTCCCTGCCATCTGCCATTCCTTGACTAGAGGAATTTATTATAGGAGGAATTGTTCCTACAATGAAGTATCTTTTTGTATATTTTTAATACATTTCTATCGGTAGAAGGTTGCACTACATATTGGGTGTTTGCAACAATCCGAATAGGGACTTTCAGGCTAAAAGGTCAACGTTAAACGAGTAGTAACCGAAAGTACATGGTGCAGAGAAATCCTTCCTTTCTCTTATCTCTTCTCCTTTCTTCTTACGGCTAATCACCTTGTGTTCGGCCGTAGTCTTTCGTTAAAATGTCACAGGCAGAGAAAAATACACATCTATTGCGTGTCTTAAAATTGAAGATCTTTCGGAAAGACCGCATTTTGTCCCAATTTTATCACAACTTTCAGTTGGCAATCTGCTATTCTAGAGGACTCAGATGTTAGACACGTGAAATTATATATANTTCTTTCATATAACGTTTCGTATATGAAAGTTCTTTCTTTTTTCAAATTGGGTAATGAATGGTACATTCAAAATTGTCCCCAATGTTTTTATCATCTAAATACAATTCATGCTTCTGTTGAATCTGAGAATTCTAAAACTTATCTACTCGTTTATGTGACAATGACTGAATAAAGCGAAGCACTTTATAAACGTTTTCTTTCATCTGATGACATTCCAGAAGCTTTTGATGAATTAAAACAACATTTGCTTACAGGAGCAAGGCGAAGTTATGACATCTTTTATAAACAATCATTTATAATACTTTATATTAATTGTTTCAGGATTGAATTTGTAGAATACATTTTATTCCAATTTTTTTTTAATTTTACATTTGTTTTATATTTATTCGAATGAATATTTTAAACAATTGCACAAATTTATTACCATAAAACAACAGATAATTGTTGTTAAGAGTACGTGTTACATAATTTTGTACAGTAAAACCTGCCTAAACGACAGAAAGAACAATCGCAATTCTTCGTGCTAAATTTATACTTAATTTATAATTAATAAACAAGAAAAAGAACATCATAACGTATTTTTTTATATATATATTTACTTATCCATGACGTTATTTTTATTCAGAAATTGAACAATAGAATGAGTTAATTCTCGAGGCATATCTAAGTGAATCCAATGACTGCAGTTTTCGAAACATAAAATCTGTATCTTGGGAAATCTTATCTTCAGTAATTTGTAGTCGTCCTTTGGACTGTAAATATAATTTTTTTTCTATAAAAATACGGTAATTTTAAATACAATCTAAACTTTCTTACATTATATATCCAGATGTATCTGAATGAACGAGGAGACATCTTCCTTCAAATATTCCTCTTAAAGGATAAACATTCCTCATTGCTTTCGATGTTCCCATCTTTTCTATTGATTCAAAATTAAATTTACATTTCCAACCAGTATCACGTTTATCCAAGTTCGAACACATGAGCTTGTTTACGCTAGAGGACTAAGAACGAATTGTCTATTTAACATTTATCAATGGTTTTATAGATTAATTTAATAGAATAATTTACCTGGATAACATTCTTCATTTTATTTTTAAGTATAGTTTTAGCCTGAGTGAGATTAATGTCAGTTGGGAGTTGTTGCAACACTTGTTTCAGTATATTAGTTGCTGTCAAACCCGAGATTTCTGCGTTTAATGGATAAGTCAGTGGAGAAACATCGACCAATACAATTTCTTTAACTAAATTTGGCTAAATTAAAATTTAAACAATTTGAGTGACAGTAATTAAGAATATAATTATAATACATAAAAGTATTCTTAATTATGATAAAAAGAAACATACTTTGTGAAATGCCAAATCCATGATTGCCGTTCCTCCTAAACTGTGTCCAATCAATACGGGTGGCTTCTTCAACTTTTGTATAAATTGTTCCAGATCGCATACATTATTTTCGTGATTCATAGATGATGTTTTCGGTGAATCTCCATGATCTCGCATATCCAATACGTATACCTACAAAAAAAGATAAACAAGAGCGGTTAATTGTAGAAGTTTTAAGAATTTGTAAAAATAATTCACCTTTCTGACAGTCTTTTCTGCAATTTCTTTGGCAATATCAGCCCAATTTTCTTTGTGGTCGAGCAAACCATGAAAAATAACGACTGGACACAAAGGTTCCATCATATTATTATCGTCTTCTCCATCATATACGTCGAAAGCCAGTTCTTCTCTAAGCAGAGAAACTTATTTAATGTTTTCCTTAGAAGAAATTTCGTGTAATAATTGTTAATTACTTAATTATTGTTATGAATAAAAGAGTTTTTATTTTTCTGGAGTCGGTATTTTATTAATTTTTTCGGCATTCAAAAATACAAGTATTAGTTAATAATTACTTTTATACTATTTATCATAAGCGTGTCAATTAACATTATAATAAATATGAAAAATAATTTAATTTACCTTTCGCTCTCCATTTACAGAAATTTCAAATTTAGAATAAATGCTAGACTATAGCAGAAAATTCCAGGAGTCTTTATATAGTCGCGACTTTACCTTGAGCTAGACAACCCCTGTATTAATTTCAGTCATCGTCTTCCTTATATTAACCACACGAATCAATTTTAATTTCCTTACTTTGATTTATGAGGTTTTAACTTCGTTCTTTCATATAACGTTTCGTATATGAAAGTTCTTTCTTTTTTCAAATTGGGTAATGAATGGTACATTCAAAATTGTCCCCAATGTTTTTATCATCTAAATACAATTCATGCTTCTGTTGAATCTGAGAATTCTAAAACTTATCTACTCGTTTATGTGATAAAGACTGGAAAAAAGCGAAGTACTTTATAAACGTTTTCTTCCATCTGATGACATTCCACAAGCTTTTGATGAATTAAAACAACATTTGCTTACAGGAGCAAGGCGAAGTTATTAGATGGTTTGAGAATACTGTAATTATATTCATGACGGGATAAGAAGACATTTACTCAACGGTGGTGCAGTTCGATCACCAGTATTGTATCCTCCAAATCTGTGGTCTGTATATGAATGCATGCAAAATGAATACACAAAACAACGTGGAAGCAGGGCACAGAAGAATTGGACAGTTTGATAGGGAATGCCCACGTTGGGTTATATCACATCATAGAAAAACTTCAAAAAGAGCAACGCCACGTAGAAAATAAATATGAACGTATTCTCCGAGAAGAACCATACTCTACAAGGAAAAGAACAGATATTCATCGCGAAAAAAGACTTCGAAACATGGTAAATAATCGTGAAAGTCGGCCTACTCTATCGGACAATTGCCCATAATCTTTCTCTATAATATGCTTTTTTGTGTGTTGATTTTTTCTTCTCCACTATTTAAAGTCTAGACCATTGATGTTTATAATTCGTAATTCTATATATTTGATTTTTGCTAATATGTATTAATGTAATAATAGTCAATGCGTGTGCATTATGTACAGTACAGTACATACATACGTATTGACAATTATTGTTGTTAAATATTTTATTGTATAAAAGGAACTATGAAGTGGAAAGAACCTCTTATGAAGGAAACACGATAATAAAATTAAAATTAGCTTTATTCCATGGAATCAATAACATCTCCATTTTCCAAGTGCAAAATCTTTTTTTTTGGAACTCCTTTTTTATGTGAAGTGTTTTGCATTTGTCTAGGCCAAATACAAAACACTCGGCCATGTGTATGTCCTTGGTCTATGTATGTGTGATTTCTAGGAATTGATGAAGTTGTTTTTGTGTGGATGCATAGTTTTATGTCGTTTATGTGCATGAGATGTGACAGCGTAAACTGTGTTGTTTTTCATGCCTGATATTGTAACCATATTGCGTGTTGTTTAACATGTTGGATAATGGGTTCAGGGCTAAGCAGAACCAGAGAGGACTTGGAATCTCCTTGAAAAATTCCTCCTCTAATGAATATTTGATTTGTTTGTATGTGAGTGTTATGAATCCTGAGATGTAATGTTTTCTAGTGCTGCATAGTGTTTTGGAAAAATGCAATGAGTGATGGATGTATTATGTACATGTGTAGAATATGTAGCAGCCAACTGTGTGGAACACTGTCGAATGCTTTTCTGTAGTCTATATATGCCATGTGTATGTTTCTGTGTTGTTTGTGTGCTTGCCGTAGAATGATTGAATCTATGAGTAACTGTTCTTTGCATCCCCTGTGATTTCTACGGTAACCTTTTNCTAATTAATTTATATTAATATATTATATTATAATAATGTAAAGACGGATAATCAGTGGCTAAGTGGCTATCAGTCTTACCAGTTTTCTTATATAGGCTCTACATATCAGTCTGTAGTTATTTATAAGTAATTTAACTATTAGTGTTAGTAAAGTATTGAGTAAGTAATTAGTAGTAGTCTAGTAATAGTTATTATTATCACAATCATGAATGATATACATTCATATCATCAAATATCTAAGATAATGATACTCATTAATTTAATTAACTATTTAACTAACTAGGTAGTCTCAGTTTCTCACTAATTTTAACAATAAAATTGCCTAGCCTAGCCCACTAACCACTTATAGAATAAAAGTTAAAAACTCTTACTTAATAGAATTAGAGTAGAAGTTATAAAATATTAGTCTTGTCTTGAATAAAGTATTTTAAAGGATTAAATAAAATTAAATCAATCACTTCTGTTATTTTTTTT